ACTGGCTGATCGGTACCAGATTCGTCTCAAAAGATAAAAGCACGGACTGCTACATTGATTGTCCCCTGTGGGACTTAATTTAGGCTAGATAGACATCCAATTGCCAGTTCAATTCTGAATAGAAGTCTAGTGCAAGGCTTATCTCGATAGATGATTGGTAAAAGTCAGTAACTCTTCCAAAACTTCATCATTCAAGCGTTCGTTGAGAGGAGACCGTTTTTCCTACGAGAACTACCAATGGGCAACCGTTACGATCAGCTCTACCTGAGCAGGAATTTCAGGAGGGTAAAATGGGAGAATGGGATGACGTGGGTGAACGGCTCAAAACTGAAAGACGCCTGAATGCCTTTTTCTAGACAGGGAAGAGGGCCAGACTTGGCAAAAAAAGTGGGAGAAGAGATTGGAGCTGGCTGACATGACAAGGTATTCTCGAGAGAGCACTCTCTAGCGCTCGCCTCCTTGCGCTACCACCCAACAGCAAAGTCCTCAATTGAAGAACCGATCGTCCACAGTTCTATCTCAGTTGACTTTTCGTGAACATTAATTATCCCCTCTAAAAACCACCCTTTTACCGTAATGTATTGCGTGCAGGAAAATGACCTTCCAGTCGTGAAGAAATGGAATATGCCAACGTGAAAAAAGGGGCATTCGGACATGGACGAAATTTAATCCATCGATGTCATGTTGATTCACACTATTTCCGCCATCAAGAGGGGAAGGAACCCTTTTCTGTTGAGAGTGATATCTCAAGAAGGGCAAAGTGGCAGCCAAGAAAAAGCTGCCAATATCATAGCTTCACTAAAATGAGCCATGCCTAAAAAGGTTGCAACCACGCGTGTTTGCAGAACGCGGATAGGAGCAGGCATTTAGTGGTCGTAATATGGTTCGGTTGGCAAAGGAAGAAGAATTCATAAAAGAATTAGAGGAATTCGTTTTTACAGGAAAAATCCTCTGTGGAATGTGTGGGATCCTTCCTCTACAGAAAACTCCTTTCTTTAAATTTCTTCTAGGAGTTTCTAAAAGTTTCAAATACTGACAATGTATCCCTTAAGAAGATTATTGAGCTCCTATCGGCTCTCAAGAAGATCTTTGTTGCCGCTCTTCCAAAAGTAAACATCAACAACGGAGTAATTGAATTAAGTCTCACTGTTTCCTGGAACATATGCCCGAATTCTGAGCTTTGGCCTAATGGATTTGAAGTGACGACAAAGCCACCCTCAAGTTCCCAGGCTTTCCGCCCAGTTTCCCATGAGCTTCCTGCTTCAAAGCAGAGCCGGCTAATTACCTTCCTTTAGCGGTCTTGCAGACCTCTTGGAGGTAATTATTAACCCGATCATGCTTGTAAGAATAAAAAAATAAATATAATTATAAACTCGTATAGAACAACAGCCTTGTTGTTTTATTAGAAAATAAGCGAATTCTACTGACGTCGCACCTCGCCAATTAGTATGTGGGGCTATAATTAGCCGATGCTGTAGTTTATAAGAAAGGAGTCTTATTATTCGAATTAAGAAACAGCCTTGTAGGCTTGCCACCAAAAAAGCGCTTGAAAAAAGCCAATTCTCAATGAATGAGTCATCTCAAGCTTGGGAGCATTACCTACAAATAACAATTATTCACAAATTGGATGTTTTCAATTCAATTTCAATTCACAATTCAAGACCTGAGGCCTTTTTACCAAGTAGAGATAAGAAGCCTCGAATGTGAAGCCTATTACTTATAAACGGTAAAAATTTATAAATTGTAAGAGAGTGAGGACGGAGGTGGTGTAGTGGCAAGTGGCGCACTACCAAACAGGCAAGGTCAGCGGTTCGAATTCCGAATGAATATCTGCATAAACAAATCAGTTCTTTCATCCTTCCAGGTTCGATTAGTTATCATTAAACTGGTCTGCGAGGATAAAAGCGCTGAATTATACATCAGCTGGCTACCGCAAATCATTGTATAGTCCCTATACGATTCAATTCGCCTATGATTCTGAATGGAAGTCGAAAGCAGAGGCGCATCCATCATAGGGATTGGTCAACGTCCGGAGACCCTATTTTTCAACCTATTTCATTGGGAAGTATTTCACTATACAAAGAAGTTATCATTGAAGTTTCCCAACGAAGAGCAACCATATCTGGCGCCAATGACCACCAAAGTTTTCATTTTTATGGAAAAAGGTTGGCCATGGGTTAGGGTTTGGTGGTCAAATTGTTAGTTTTTCAACGGAACAAGTTGAAACGTTCCGTTTCAAGGACCAAAAGGGGGGACTGCGAGGGACACAGGATGAAATCGAAAATGTGGACAGTGTCTTTTAGCCGTTAAACAGATTGACAATAAGGGGGACGGATCCTCTCACTATCCGTTTCGGCTTCTGGCTTCCTGTCGATGGTATCTGTTGACCTAAGATTTTCCAAAGCCCTTTTTGAAAATATCCGTCAGGTGGATACTGATTACCGAGCATTTTTCAAAGTTTTCGGTAAAAGGTAATCCTGCCGGGTGATGTGGAGGTGAAGACGGAAGAGAAAGAAAAGATGTACTCTGAAAAGTGGTCACCCTGACTCTGGATATGTTTGGATAAATAAGAATTTGACGAGTTTAATGCCAAAGGAACAAAGATCAATGGGGACTTCAATCAAAGAGGTGTTCATTAGCCAAGCCTCGTCCGTCACCAAATTCGCATTACGCCCTCTAAGAACCACACGAAGGGTGGGCGTCGAGATCGGTCCCACTAATGCGCTCTTTGATTTTTCGGAACATCGTTGATGTCGTTCAGCTCCTTTAATTAGATCCGTCGTAAAAATGAACCCCTCCCACACAACTTGAAATCGCCTGCCTGCAAACCGGTTTAATATTTACAACTGGTAAGTTACTGCCAATAAAAATTGCAAAACGTTTTGCAGAATCGACGAACACTTGGAATTTCATGGTTTATGAATAGGTCNCCATATGCTTGGATAAATAAAAATTGAAGTGGAGCTCAATGTCAAAAGAACAAAGATCAATGGGAACTTCAATCAAGGAGGTGTTCATTAGCCAAGCCTCGTCCGTCACCAAATT